TAAGCCCAATTGTCTTGAACAGGGGCTAGCATAAGGAGAGACAGAAGGGTTTGCTGCATGCCCAGTAAGGACAGGGGTTTCAGATTCGTCACTACTCTTGGCTCTTATCCTGATGGAACATACTGTCCCCATTGTAGAGAAGTGAGAACCAAGTTGGCCAATATCACCCCGTAAATGTAGAAGCAGAGCTTTTTCCCCTTTCAAAGACGAGGCTCTTTTCATTGCCTGAGATTCCTTGAGAGACAGCACCCGGGGACTCATATGGAACATACTGTGAAGCCATTGCTGTGTGACTTCGGACAGAGTCCTGAATCTCTCTGAGTCTCAGTTTCCTCTGACAACAAAAGTAAAAACAACCGTAATCATCCCGGCATTTGCATCCTAGAGCACTTGTGAGCGTTAAACAGGTCAAAATGAGGGAATTGCTTAGAACAGTATACTGCCCCAACGTCAGAGACTGATCCTAAATTTTAGAAATGTACTGTTGTCCTGTTAGCTGTGCAGTGTGCTCAGAAGGAAGGAAGGGACTTCTCAAACAGTAATTCAGACTCTGTGGTAGATGGATACTTGAGATTCATCGCCTCACATAGTTCTGACAAGGACCCAGGCACAGCGCAGCTCGGGTTGGGAGTGCTCAGCCAATGTCCTGAGGTCGGCTTGGCAGAAACTTCTCCTTTCTAGAGCAGCTTGACTTGGAGGATCAAAAGGACAGCGTCAGAGAAGTTTTTCTCGGAGAACTGCCAGTGTTCCCAGGACTGAAGATTTTGAAGAGCGTAAGAGGAAATTGAAAACCAGGGAAGTAAGGTCACGTGATGACGTTGAACAGCGACAAAGGACTAGAAATGGAGTATAAGCCCCAGCCTGAGGCCAGCACTACCACTCTTTCCCCACCATGCTAGAAAAAGAGAGCAGCAGCCCACCCTCAAAGCATGTGTGACCTGTGTACCTGCCCCTATTCTTGCCTGTGGCCAAGTGTCCTCTGGGGGAAGACAGCTACCTTCTCACAGGCACTGCCTTATTTGACAAATGATGTTATTTATTGACCGGGTCTCCTATTTTAAGTGCTTAATGCATGAAGCAGGCTGGTAATTTAGTAGATTCCTGTAATGTTTCACTTGTAAAATGTGGATCTGTGTGTTTGTTCACAGTCTGCCTACTGTGTACAAGAACTGGGATGAGGAGAGTACAAGGTAGAACACTGGAATTGGTTAAATAATCAATGAATGCCTATTCACAAACAATGTGAGTACCATTTAGCAACATCCCAGGGTATTTAAATGGGTAGATGGGGCTCTGATCTTAACAGAAGTTGACCATGTGAAGAAAGGCAGGGTGAATAGCAAAAGAACAGCACGTGCAAAGACCTGTGGGAAGAGGGGTACAGACAATTTGAGGAGCTGAAGGGGTCTCCATGTGTTTAAAGAAGGGCTTCTTAAACCCCTTGTAACCTCAATTGTATAGGTACACAATATTCGATGTCTATCTAGGTACATAGTATGTATGCATATGTGTATATATAGGTGTGTAAGTACACAGATCAAGCATTTAGTGACAATAAATTGTGAAAAACTACTATCAAACAATTCTTCATTATGTATAATTTTCCATTCATTAAAACTGAAAGCAAGTTTATATACTGAAGTAGATATACCTGTTAATTTTTATATAAGTAATTAAATCTTGCCTGAGTATTTGATACTGGAGGACACAGAGAATCTCTAGTGCTTTTCACAGTTGTTTGATATTCTGATTTTATAATAAATGCTAAGAATACTACTTTACATAAGTGTGTCGAAGAAAGTGGCAGAAGTCAGTTTAGGGTCATGTCAGGAATTATTGGTAATTCTGTCCTAATCCCAAGCCAAAACAACTGATTGAAGGACTTTCCAGGAAACTCCAGTTAGCAACTCAAACAGCAATTTTCAAAACAAAACATTCTAAAACAATCAAAGAAATACTAGCTTAATGCTTCCATATTGAAGGATGATGGAAGCAAAATATTAAAAGTGTTTGTTTTCCTTAATTGAATCATTGGGTTCCTAGAGGAGCAGAGAACTTTGAATCTGGGTGCAAAACAGTACAATTCAAAATGTACAATAGTCTTGAGTCTGTGCTGAGGAGTTTAAGGCACCATGTGTCCTGCACGGGTAAAGTGCATATGTCATGTGTGCTCAGGATCCTACAGTGAAGCCACACACTGCGATGAGTGGAGAGGAATTGCCAGAAACACCTCAGATTCATTATATGCCTGATTTTGAGTAAATGTTTGGTCATCACATGTTTGGAAACATTTTACTATTACCTGAAATTTTAGGAACCCCATATTTAACTATGTGACCCCAGGAGCTATGGCCTGGAGCACAGAAGAATAACAAAGAGTTGAAGAAGGCAGAATATTAGTGAATTGTTCTTTCTTCTCAGAGAAGGTGGAGATGTATATTTTTAAAAAGGAGATTTTTTTTAATAGAAGCTATAAAAATGTCCAGCCATTTGCTTAGGTTGTGATTAATACAATTGCACCCATGCTATCATGGATTGTGTCAATCAGCCTCCCACTAGTCAGCTGACCCTAAGTGACCAACCAGTGGCTGTGGGAATGCTGAGAATGCCATGCCATGGGTCAACCTTAATCCACAGTAACGAGTGTTGATCTTCATCAGTGAGGCAGGCCTGAGCCATGCTGCAGTTGGCTGTCTGACTTGAGCTGTTGAAAGCTCTCTGGGCATCAGCCTGACCACTCTGAGTCACAACTGGGCCACTTGGTATCTGTGGGAATGTGGGCATTTTACTTAAGGATTCAGCATCTCAGCTCCCAAAGCTGCAAAAGAGACCTACTGGTCCCACCTTCAGGCATTTTGTAGCAACTATAGAAGGTCAGCCATTTAGCCATCTATCAAATAATAGACTCCATAGTAAGGCACTTCCTCAATATGTAAAGGAAGTGTCGGCAGCACACAATCACAGAATATTTAAAATTGGAAAAATTTTAGAATGGGCAGGAAGGAAAAAAGAGAAAGGGCAATTACTTCACAACTGATATTTCATTGGTTTTTATGTACTATAGAAACTGCTAGTACAGGGACCTGCCAGGCAGCACGTAGGCTGTGTCGAATCAGGCTTCCAGGGCTCTGAGCAATGTTTTGGAGAACACAAGTTGGCCATGGCTGTTGGCTGCTGTGCAACAGACCTTTACTGAAGCCACGAGGAGGAGGGCGGGCTTGGGCTCCACATTCATTTATCAGTTTTGACAAGTGGGCTGTCTGTACAGATCTCTCACGGCATAGGATGAAGTCAGACTACAGCTTCAGGGACAGGCTCGGTATGAGATACAAATGTCGGAGCTGGCCACCTGGGACTCCTGCACAGGGAAAGGAGAGACCATGCTTCACATGGGTGGACAGAGAGGGGTTCAGATGCTGAGGACTGAAAGGAGATTTCTTCAGAGAGAGCAAAAAGTGAGCCCTTGGGCCCAGCTACCCCCAGGGTTTTATTACAAGTGAGAACTTCTCTGGGAGAGGACTTGGCACAGCTTTGACATCCATCAAGCATTTATTAAAGGGATGACTGAGTCAGCAGTCCACAAATCTAAACTGACATAAGTAACAAATAGGGGGGAAGAGCATTAAGATTCATCCATTCACACTGAGTCCCAAATACATATAAAATACGGCTCAGAGGGTTTAAAAAGCTCGTATCGATGAAGAGCTTTTTAAAATAAAATATTCTTTGTAGAGTATAGAGTAAGATTTGAGAAGACTGAAAAGAGACAGTTTCTCATTTTCCAAAATGCTGGCTTTCAGCAATGCTAATCTCATACTATTATGCTGGGCCAAGCCCTGGAGAATGTACCTAAGCATTTAGTCATGAAAAGAGTCATCACTGAGGCTCTTTGTCTGATAGGTCACTAGACTGCCTTGATCAGGAACAGACTAAAAATAGTGTATTTCGATTATTATGGCACATTTGTCAGCTGTGACTTAGAGAAACATAGATGAATGATAGGGCTTCAGAGTCGTCATCCACCTCTTACCTGAATCCATCCATGGTGCATTAGTCAGGTCTGAATCTCGGGTTCATGATATAGCATAGTGATTCTCTTTCTTAGCCATTCCCTAGAATAACCAGGGGAACTTTAAAACACATCCTATCTTGCCCCATCCTCAGAGACTCATTTGATTTAGTTGGAACAGACAACACCCATTTGAGTACTTAAAAAAAACTTCCATTGTTCTAGTGAACAAAGATTTAGTATATTTGTCTTAATGTCATATTCTTAGCCATAACTTTTACAATCTATTTTTAAAGAAAAGGTTGGAGATCAAGAAGCCTCTTCTTGTATTATATTTGTAATTGAGCTTAAACTAGGAGCAATGGAATTAAGTTTATGTTGAGCAAATAAGGGGGCTAGAAAGACAGCTCAGCAATTGAGAGCATTTGCTGTTCATGTGCAAGACCTCGGATTTGGTTCCCAGTATCCACATGGTGGCTCACAACTACCCATAACTCCAGTACCAGGGACTCTAACCCCACTTCTGACTTCTGCAGGCCCCAGACATGCACCTGGTATACATACTTACATGCAGGCAAAACACTCATACACATAAAATAAAATAGATAAATCTAAAAAGACCATTTAAAAGAAATGAACAAGAAAGAACCTTCCAGGCAGAGAAGAGGGCAAAGGTTTATGGGGTCTTGTTACAGAGCAATTAGCCAAGTCAACATATGCAGATGGCTTAGAGCTAAAGCAAGCACACATTGAGGGTGCTCAGCCCCAGCTCTGCATCCAAAACTCTTCATCGTGCTGGAAAACCAGAGTTGCAGAGTCGCTTTTCCGGCCTAAGGTGGTGCCAAAGTGGGAAACATGGGCTTCAAGCTGTGTCGTGGCTGACTCTGAGGCTAAGGTCTTATCTGCTGTTGTTGGTATAGTGTTAACTTTGATTTTATGTTGAAATGGAAGCTAAAAGTCACTTCCAGACAGCCATTGCAGTACACTGAGCTCCATCGAGACAGCGCCGGGGCAAGCGCGAGCCGGACGGGCACTGGGCGACTCTGTGCCTCGCGGAGGAAAATCAACTAAACATGGGCAAAGGAGATCCTAAGAAGCCGAGAGGCAAAATGTCCTCATACGCATTCTTTGTGCAAACTTGCCGGGAGGAACACAAGAAGAAGCACCCGGATGCTTCTGTCAACTTCTCAGAGTTCTCGAAGAAGTGCTCAGAAAGGTGGAAGACCATGTCTGCTAAAGAAAAGGGGAAATTTGAAGACATAGCAAAGGCTGACAAGGCTCGTTATGAGAGAGAAATGAAAACCTACATCCCCTCCAAAGGGGAGACCAAAAAGAAGTTCAAGGACCCCAATGCACCCAAGAGGTCTCCTTTGGCCTTCTTCTTGTTCTGTTCTGAGTATTGCCCCAAAATCAAAGGAGAGCACCCCGGCTTGTCCATCGGGGACGTGGCGAAGAAGCTGGGGGAGATGTGGAACAACACCGCTGCGGACGACAAGCAGCCCTACGAGAAGAAGGCTGCCGAGCTGAAGGAGAAGTACGAGAAGGATATCGCTGCCCACAGAGCTAAAGGAAAACCCGATGCGGCGAAGAAGGGGGTCGTCAAGGCTGAAAAGAGCAAGAAAAAGAAGGAAGAGGAAGATGAGGAGGAGGATGAAGAGGATGAGGAAGAGGAGGAAGAAGAGGAAGACGAAGATGAAGAAGAAGATGATGATGATGAATAAGTTGGTTCTAGCGCAGTTTTTTTTTCTTGTCTATAAAGCATTTAACCCCCCTGTACACAACTCACTCCTTTTAAAGAAAAAAATTGAAATGTAAGGCTGTGTAAGATTTGTTTTTAAACTGTACAGTGTCTTTTTTTGTATAGTTAACACACTACCGAATGTGTCTTTAGATAGCCCTGTCCTGGTGGTATTCTCAAGAGCCACTAACCTTGCCTGGTACAGTCTGGGGGTTGTAAATTGGCATGGAAATTTAAAGCAGGTCCTTGTTGGTGCACAGCACAAATTAGTTATATATGGGGACGGTAGGTTTTTTTTTTGTTTTTGTTTTTATTTTTTGTTTTTTTGTTTTTTTTTCATCTTCAGTTGTCTCTGATGCAGCTTATACGAAGATAATTGTTGTTCTGTTAACTGAATACCACTCTGTAATTGCAAAAAAAAATTGCAGCTGTTTTGTTGACATTCTGAATGCTTCTAAGTAAATACAATTTTTTTTATTAGAAAAAAAAAAAGTCACTTCCAACATGTTCAGAGATAGAACCCGAGGCCTGGAGATACTGAGCAACTTGCCCAAACACATAAATATTAGAGGGGTAAAACCGGATCTAAGAGATATGCTGGGCTTTATCATGTTTTTAAGATGAAGATTTTGCTATATCTTTAGTTCAAGGTGGCACAGAACTTACAATCCTCCTGCTTTGGCCTTCTGTCTGGTAAAGGCTTTTGTTGTTGTTGTTGTTGTTTTGTTTTGTGTTGTTGTGTTGTTTCTGAGAGGGAAATAAAAGGAAGAGAGAGAGGGATGGGGAGGGGGACAGGAGAGGAAGTGAGAAGCGGGGAGGAGGAGGAAGGAAGTGGGGGAGAGCGAGCGGGGGGAGCGAGAAAGGAAGGCAGGCCCCATTTTTCAAGTGTCTTTCTAGAGAAAAAGAAGCCTGGCAGGCCCTGGCCTGTTCCCCAGAAGGAGACACGTCTAGAGGGGAATCCCCAGGGAAGCTTCTGGGGAATCCTGAGGAAGAGGTCCACCTTCGGAAGCAATGCCTGATGTTTTCCCCAGGAATCCTGAGGCCACCTTAGAGGCATTTGCTGACTGAAAAAAATTAATTCAGGAGGGGACTCCCTCAAATCAAGGAAAATGTTAAGGGCAAAGAATCTGTTTGTTTTCTTTGACATGGAGAAACTCTAGCTTACAGACACAGAGAAAGGCAAGGAAGGCATTTCAGCAGGAAAATGCAAATCTCCACAAGGAGTTAGCTTGGAAGGACCCTTTCGTGTGTTCTGTGGCTGGTTCCTGTTTACTTGAACATGAGACGTCTCCTAGTCACCTTTTGGCTACCATCCTGCAAACAAAAGAGAGAAGTCGGCTCCACTGGTTCCGTCTAGTGTGAACTGGACGCCCATGGGTATTAAGAGAAGCTCATATGGAGTGTCTGAAGGGAGAGGGCACCTTTTCTATTGGTGATAGTAATTCAGACTTACACACAACATGGTCCAGTCTAGACCCAGTAGCAGCTCTAAGCCTCGGTGGCTTTGTGATACAAGGGTGCTCAAAACTGCTAGAGTCCTTTCTCTGTGAACCAGACTGCAGATTCTTAGGACTTGGTGTATCTGGGTCTCTAGGGACAGCATGTGCCAGCACCAACCACAGCTCCTTTCTCCCACACTGCTTTTTGAAGGGGCTTTAACCCCACTCAGAGGAGCTGAGCATACCTTCCCACTTCTGAAAGGACATCTGGAGTCTTCCTGCAATGACCATGATGCCCACATCTCCACAGGAAAGGGGAGCTCCCCTCGACAGGCCTGGCACAAAGACACTGATGTCAGGGAGGAAACTGCCATCAAGTGCTGGTACTGAGAGATGATGCTCAGTGTCCTTGCCCTAAATGACTTCCTCTTCCTAAGACAGAAACAGCATCTACCCAGGTCTATTTCTCTTGCTGGAGAGAAGAGGAGCTTCCACAGGCCTGCATGCTGCTGTGTGGGGAAGGAGCCTCCATAGGCCTGCATGCTGCTGTGTGGGGAAGGAGCCTCCATAGGCCTGTCTGCTGCTGTGTGGGGAAGGACCCTTCATAGGCCTGTATGCTGCTGTGTGAGGAAGGAGCCTCCATAGGCCTACCCACTCTTGTGTGGGGAAGGAACCTTCATAGGCCTGTCTGCTGCTGTGTGGGAAGGAGCCTCCATAGGCCTGAACCTCCATAGGCCTATCTGCTGCTGTGGGGGCAGGAGCCTCAAAGGCTTTGCACTTGTGTTCTCTAGATAGGATCTCCCATCCAGATTCCTAGGGGGACTCATGAAATGCATGCTGACAGGACTGTGCGTGGTTTCAAGCTCCAGATCCTTTTTCAGCTGCTCAGAATGAGTATCACATTTGCTTGATGTCCTTCTAGAAAATATCTGCCTTAATCTACTGTAATTTCAAGGTTCTCACTGGAGAATTCTCAGGAGAGCATATATTAAGGGTGTCACGGGAAGAAATATTTGACCTTTTTTGATTATGGGTGCCAGTTCCTTATAATTCAACCCAAATACAGCAAGCCAAACACATTTTGAGCTCAGAAGGACTAACACTGAAATTGCTTGAAGGACCCTTGGTCAAGTTCCCTAGAAACAGACAGTGAGAGGAAGGCTTGTGCCCAGGGGACTCCAGCCAAGCACTATCCGGGACAACTAAAAGGGATGGAAGAAACCAGACAGGCAGAGAGAGAAGCAGACTGTAGTGAGGCAGAGGTTTCAGCTCATCCCCTAGGGACCTCTGTACTTGGGATGGCCCTTTAGATTGTCCCCAGTGAATCTCTCTGCTCTTTGCTCCTCATTGTAGTCATGTAGAGATCTGCCTCCAGGGAGCGGTTGTGTATCACCTTGGATAGGCAGCTCTCTTTGGTTGAGAGAGGGGAATTCTTAAAGAGGAAAATGGTGATGGGTCATTAGCAGCTAACACTGACAGTCACTGGGACACTGATGGGACTTTGGGTACCACACACCAGGATCTCCTGTTCCAGCAAACTCACTCACTTCCCAAGAATGGGGACCCTAAAAGAAAGCAGATGGCCTGGGAGCTGTATAATAAGGTGACAGGATGAAGGGTCGGTCCTCTGCTCAGGATGGCAGTCTCCACCATCTTCCCTCTCTTAGTAATCCACACTCGGCTGGCTGAGCATCCTTACATCTGACCAATGTGGCCAGCATGTTGCATTTGCATATTTGACCTGTATATTATTGGATGGAACCTCACACCATAGGTATCATTATTTTCCTTTTGTGAGAAAGAAAGGTAGGTCCCTGATACGTTTGGGAGCCTAGCAAAGTGCTTCATATGAGTTATGCGTGTTTGTCTCTCAAGTCTGCCTAGCCTACAGTTTCCCCAACAGCTTCCTCTCTCCTGCTGTATACGTCTGCTGCTTCCCAGAGGGGAGAACACTGTTCTCTGCCCACCGAGCCCTTATGGTGAGACAACTGCTTTTTTTTTCTACCAGTGTGAGATTCCTTTCTAGCTCACTTCAATTCTCTTGATTACTTGATTAAATTAAAGTGAATTTTCACTTTATTCTAGTCAGAGGTTCATAGAATACAACCCTTTGAATAAACATACTTTCAGGCATGCAATATATGTGTATCGGGGGTCCGTTATGTGCTGGCCATGTTATTCTCTGAGACTGCCCTAGAGGATGAGTGTTTTTATCCTGACTTTATGAATGAGGAAAACAGAGGCTTAAACAATTCAATAACTTCCCCCAAGATCAAACAGCTTGGGTTTAAACACAGATCTGCTCTGCTGGGACAGAGTCATGTTCCCTCCCTCCCTGTTATTAAACAAATATGTATTAAAGGCCTACGTGCTGCCAGCGTTCTGCAGGAATGTTCTGGGATAAAGCTGCATTTGGGACACGTGCACGCCAGCCAGTCTTCTTTGCCGTTGTGTTCTGGAGCAGCAGCCACAAACATGAGGCTGACAAAGACTGAGTGAAGTGGTCGGTGAGGAATGTGGGGCAGCAGAATGTGGTTGCTTCTGGAAACAGCAGCTGCTCAGCTGCAGCCAGATGTTGCTATGTGAGAACATCAACCCAGATGGCCCTTCCTCGCTTCAAGAGTAGCCACAGATCTGTTTTTTGTGTGAAAGATCACAATATCTTAAAATTGTGAGCTAATCCAACCCTTCCATCAACATCAGGGTGGATTTAAAAAGAGGCATGGGTGGAACGTGAGCCACAGGAGCCATGGATGTCATCTGACCCTGACTCTCAGCATCAGCTCAGCTGAATGGGTCTGGATCCGTCTCATGGAAAGATCCAATTGGAGAATGATACACACTTTCACTGCATCCTGAGATTGTGCCTGTATTCCAAGAAGCATCACACATCTCAGTATTTCAAAGTTTTCTTGTCAGAGGGTCCCTCCAGCCTCTGCAGGTTCTTGGTCTTGTTCCTTGAAGCTCCATTCTTTCCTGAAACTAAGCTATTCCCTGACCTTCTGGCAGGAAATGACTTGATTGTTGGTGTTTGCAAACAGCAATACAAGGCTACGTGACCAATGCTCACAACCTCCTTTCCCTTCTCATTCGTACTGCAACCAGATGGTTCTGAGATAATGCTACGTCTTTCCTGCAAAAAAATAACATCCCTTAACCATTCTACTAGCCCCTCTGACCATACTGGGAAGGCAATCTGTCAACACCCACCCACCCGGCATCACTGCTTCCCCTGTCTTATCTTTTGAGAGTGAGTGAGAGGACATGATCTGGTCACATTCCAAGGAGTCAATCATATACCATGCTGAGAGCTCGGAGACTCACGTAGACAACATCAGTGTGTAGACTTAGAGTTCCGGCCCACCCAGTGCTGTTTTCAGGATGTTTGGGACTGCCCCGTCCCTCCCCAAATGACATGTGATGCCTATCTTCCTCCACCTCTCAGCTGCTACTATCACATTCTCTAATCAAACACATCTAGTTCTTGTGCCTTACAATTCTCATGAGAGATAAAACCACGATGATGACTGCAATCCACAAACCTGACACCTGGCCAGGCTTCGACCTCTTCTTCCAGCCCCTCCATTGGCCTTCAACAGGACTCCAGTGGCATTGAGAGACCTCTAGCTTTGCTGACGATATAGCAGATATTAGTTAGTAGGATA